ATATATATTTAATTGTTATTAATTTTTCTATTTTATTTCTAATGATTTTATTGTGCTGCATACAGCAAATTTATAAACTTAATTTGTATATACATAGTGTATAATTAACACTACTGACAAGTACACAATTAGTAAAGATAATACGTAGCAGATACCCTGTTTTCAGCATTATCATCTTATTTAGATTTCAACTCCTTTTCTTGAGCATAAAATGGACACACCCATATTTCATTAGTTCATATTTACTAGTTAAATATGTACAACAATTGTATCAATTTATGTATTTTAATATATGTATTACTTGAACTTTTGGCCATGAGTTTTAATAAATTTTGGTAAATTCGATTTTGATATTTGGTTGGTGACCTTTTGACCTCATGTGGCTTATTAACAATTGTTCTTTATACCAAATAATAGGGAATATACTAATTTACACTTTATTACTAATAACAACAAAATATATTTAGCTAATAAAACATTGTGAGCATAATTGCTACCCCCACCCCATATCAATCTTAATGCATTAAACTGACATGCCTATACTCTGTTCATATTTACTAGTTAATTAAGTATCACAGTTGTGAAAATATAAATATTTCATAACATATAATAATAGACAGGTAACTTCTAAGGCACATCACCAGTTTTCAGCATCATAACTGTCATTTAAAAGCTAGCTGAGAGCTTTTTCATTTGTATCAAAACCCAGTGGTGAATGCATAATATAGACACGCCCACATATTTTTGGAGCCATAACTCTGTAATGAATGGAGCTTAAAAGATGTCCCATTTTTATTTATATATGTATACTTTGTGTATTTTTTACTGCAGCTAACTTTCATAAATGTTAATTCAGTTTTAATGGGATAGAAAAACTATTAAGTAAGTTTTAATATATGTGAGGTCTCACCACGAAATCAGACGCATCGTTGGTGAAATCATTTTGATGATAGGTCAAAGTCAAAATTTTACACAATTTTGATTTTAATGTTTTTGAATAACTTGATATTTATATTTAATGATTGTATATGGTACTTTTTAAGTGAATTTTCTTACTAAAACAGGTGTTCTTTGTGCATATTCTGTAATTCTAGTCCTATTATTTGTACAGGTTAGTTTATCTTGGAGGCCGATTTTCTCAAAATGTGGTTCTCATACACATAATATTAAAATGCTCACATCTCTGGATCTACATATCCTAGTGAAGCCATTCAAAGACCAAATTAAAGCTTATAATATGATCTACCGTAATATAATATAAACTCAATTTTTGATATTCTAACCATGAGACTCATTTTGTGGTGAGGCCTCACATATTTTAGGTGAAATTTGATGTTGATCTTTGGTTGATGACCTTTTGACCTCCTGTGACATAATTAACAATGTAATCACATTGTCTTTATACCAAATGATACAATGTAGCCTGGTTCTCACGAGAGCCCTAGTATCCGGATCGGGATCATGGTTAGCAAGCGCTTCGGTTAACAAGTTGAGGGTGTTTTTATCATCAACCAATCACACGTACGCGTTTACAATTTCCAGTTTCTTATTGGCCAGTGATTCGATATCATATTGTTGGTCCGGATTTTCTCGCATGGACGCACGGCAGCTAACGGTTAGCAGGATCCAGATCCTGCTAACCGTTAGCTGCCGAGTGAGAACATAGCCATAATTATTCTACAGTTGATTAAAAGTTGTGGGTAAAAAAATGTTACCCACCCCCCCACCAATATCAATCCTAATACTGAACAAAAAAAGGTCCCATTTTAATTATTGGTCTAAATGCACTGGCAATCAGAAATCACTTGAGTGACAAGTGTTTTTTAAGCTTATACATATAGGTAACTGAAAATCATAATTTCAGTTATAAAGCAAGGGGGTGCATGGGTGTGTCTGTAGTCCCCTGAACTATGATGATTATAATACACCTGTATAATTTCAAAATTGTTGAGGGCAGTATACACAGGAATAACTATCTAAAAAATAATCAATACTGTACTGTTAATTATTAGAGCGTAGGCCTACATGATACTTTTATAAATTTATTCATAAATTTAAATGTGTCCAATGGAATATTAGTGTCTAAGTTAGAGTTGGTTTACCTCGCAGCGGAACATCCAAGCCTTGACCTAGGCCTATTGCAGAGTAGAATAAGAAATTATAGAGTACAGTATGCGTTCGCTCGGCGCCGCAACGAGTTGATTTAGTTTCTCCATGGTTTCTCTGAACCACTCCCAAGGATTTTTATTGACCAATTTTCAAAATACTTTTAGCACATAACGAATAAGTACTTACCAGAGAAGAAATTGCGAGCTGCAAGCAAACATATTATTGAAAAGATACGTTTACGTTACTAAAATAATCTACTTGAACTCCAGCTGCTGCAAATGCCTCTTCTTCCACGTTATTGCAGCGTACGTAGGCTACAAGTTCATGCATATGTATTAGGTGTTACGTCTCACCAGTATGATTTAGAGGGGAACAGTGATAGTTTTTATTTGGAATCACTTTTGTTACACGTGGCACATCAAAATCAAAACAATCGACAGAAACATGAAAAATAACTTCATCACATAAAACCAAATATCCAACACTTGGTACAGTGTAGGCCTACTCGTTGAGTCGGGGATAACGATCAAAGCAGCGGTCAATCATTTAGTGTAAAAGCGAGCCTATTAGTTTTGAAGCGCATTATTATATTGGCATATTAAAATTATTTATTCATGACGCGATTAAGCGTCACTCTCGAATAAGCGCCGCACCAAATGTGATTTTTTGCCAAGCCCCGCTCTCAATATGCGCCGCGGCGCTTATTCGAGTGAATAAAGCGTCTTATGCAATGAAACACTTTATGAAACAGGGTAATAAATATAATGTATACAGTGTTTAAATGAATAAATAACACAATGAAGACACAAGTTATGCCTATCTTTAGTATTTAATGTTTATTTACTATAGGCCTATGTAGGGTCTATAAATAGGCCTACCGAACTACGGGAATACATGAGATAGATAGGTATAACATGGAAACAATCATGGAAAGCTCCACGCCAATATTTTTAATAAGCGCCACACAGAAGTCTTTAAGAATTTTATATGCGCCGCGGTGCTTGTTCGAGCATTTACGGTAATCAGCAGAATATCTGCTATAGCCAATAACGCCGCTATAATTTGCTTTTTGCATTAAACTGCTTTACTTGTTTTAGATGCTAATATTGCTACAAACGTAGGCCTATACAGCTGCTATAGAAAAGAATTAGTTATTAAATTGGTCACTGAAGTAGATCGAGTACGAAATGTAAAATTAAATAATGTTATTTTTTGCTTCATGAATATATAACTCAGTTATTTATGTACTATAAAATATAGAAACTATAAACTATAAATATAGGCCAAGGCCTACTATAACTCTGAAATAAAAAAATTGATTATGTCTGAAATGTTCATAGGTGTAGTATTTTGTTGTGGCCAATTTTCGAGAAAATATCAGACGAGAAATTTCTAAGCTCAATATTTGTTTTGTATTTATTTATTTATTACAACATGTATTATTAAATTTAGCCAAAATCTCATAAAAATACTTTTTTTTCGGTCAACACTTAAATCTAAAATTCAGTGGCAACAGCCCAATCCATATGAGTCAAGTCCACCTCCATGCCAATTCAACAACAAATTTTGAGCACCTTCAATTCGATGGACTGTTGAAGTTTTACGTTAAGATTTTAACTTTGACGTACGGACTAAATCAATGGAAAACGGATCGAATTTTTTGCATGTAAATATGTAAGTTTCATTCGACTTAAATTCATTCGAGTTAGAGCAAATATTAACCATTGTAAATAAATGGAAGATAAAGTGGCATGAAAATAATTTCGACTAATCATTATGCTTGATCGACATTTTACCGTACCGATTGTGATCCGATGACTAGTTTTGATAGAAATAATTTTAAACGGCGTTTTAGTTATAATTTTAAGGAGAAAGAATATGTGCCTATTTCGATAAATGTAGATTAAGTTTTTTCGATCATTTACTATGTTAATTTATAAAATATTGAAATACTATTAGTTTATTGATGATGGTAATCGATAAATGTTAAGACGCTATAGTCTTCTTCTTGGTGCTCGGTTTTCTCGGCAACCGTACGAGCACGCACGTAAGCGTCCGAGATTCGGATAGTTGTTTACAATCATAGAGCTCATAATTAGTTATTCATTATTAATTGGCTATGATTATTTATACTTATTATAACTTTGCAATGGACCTTTCCGCTAAGCCATGGTGGGGCTGAGGTAGTATTGACCCACTCTATCTGTGAACGTCCTAATCTGGGCCAATCTCTCCCAAGGCCTCTTAGTGACGACATTATTATTATTGTTATTATTATTATTATTATTATTATTATTATTATTATTATTATTATTATTATTATTATTATTATTATTATTATTATTGTTATTATTATTATTATTTGCTTAACCTGTATCCATTAGGCCTATGGTAACGTGATCTATTCATCATCAGGAATCATTTAAACTTTGCCATTTTTATTATGGTCAGTAGGTCTAATGTATAATTTACTTAGTTTCTAAGTTTCTATGATTAACTTTAACTAATCGCTAATAGATATGCCAACTTGTACATAGTGTTTGTAAATCAGTCATGCTGAGGAAGACAGGTCGAAATAAATTGTGCTCTAAAAGTCTACTCCGTTTCCTGTTTTCTTTCTATATTATACATGAACACACATGGACCCAATTCATGTTATATACATGCTGTCTCTTATACACATCTCACCTGTATAATTTCAAAATTGTTCAATACTGGCAACGTATAGTGCTCGATACACGTGATAATGCAGAGCGTAAATATTGAAAATGTTTAACTCTTTTGCATTTTCACCTGTCTTAACATCATATACTCGCACAATCCTTGTATTCTCTCACTCGTGAAGATTGCATTAGCATGAAACAGTCTGTAGAGTGATAATACCCAGTTCTACAAGTTCTACATTTTCAATATAAATATCTAATTACGGTATTCACTTACAGTGTACTGTAGTTAAGTACGGTTCCCTCCATATTTTGCTAGTTCTCTTTTAATACATGAAAATATTGTAACAATTGTGATGTATTAGTCAGTCCCCAATTATGGGTACTCATTGATATTTTGTTTCTAATTATATCATATGCTTTATAATCATTTGGGGATTCCTTGGTAACCGACGTTACAATTCATCCTTTAATTATAGTCACTTTATATTAAAAACATGAAAAATCTACAGGGAATTATTTTTTATTGCTATATCGTAGTACTATGGGAATGAAATATAGGAATTAAAAATGTTATATATATATATATAATATATATATATATGCAAATATATATATGTATATACACATCTCATGTCCAAGAGATAGACAAAAATAGGCTATAATACTTTGATTTAGAGCATTGCCTTTTTTTCGACTTTGCGTAAAATATAAATGGTTCTGTATTAAATTTTCAATTTTCATATGCAGGTCTCCGTTTTCAAATATAAAGAACAGCACCACCACCACCATTCTTTCATATAAATTATCCTATCTAACAATCATTCATTTGTTTTAAGATAAAAAAAAAGGCAATAAAAAATCAAGCAGGACTACAATAGCTAGGTGCCAGCAGCTTAAAAAGCAAAATAATATGAACAATAAAAATTAAAAAAAAAATAACTTCTAAAACTCCGGAGAGTCAGTCGGCTTCTCTTCCTAGATTATGCTTCTCAACACATTATAAATCCTGCAATGGAAGCATGTCATGCGCAGATACCAAAATGTCCACGAAATTGTTCAAGCTGAACTCTCAGCAAAATTAGATATAAAGATGTGGGGAAGGAAAAAAGTCATGAGAAGTTCCATGAAACCATTCATGCGTTAACTCAGACATATAAAGATGTGGGCTGAATCACTCGTGCGGAACTCTGCTATGCAAAGTTGTAGGCTCATTGTGTGTACTGTAGCGTGTACCTAAATACAACGGTGGCGGAAAACTAGATGTAACAGCAGTATGTTCTATTAACTTAAAATTTGTACTCGGTAAAATGGGTTATACTGAGCCGATTTCCACCATTCAAAAGTCGATATGAGGTGCTAGTTAACGTTTATTAGGATTTTTGGAAAGAAAGTAATGAAATTATGTCTCTAAATAGAAGTTCATATGCATCAGCCGAATGTAGTACAATTGTTTATCAGTGTGATTAATCTGCTCAATAAACAATTTTAATTACTTGTGCAAATATAAAGATGTGGGTAAGCCACATCTTATATACGACTTTTCATGGATCTCGACCTGCTATGTAGGCCCTCTTTAGGCTAGACGCGCCTAGACGGTTGGAAGCGACGATCGAAGAAAAACGGTTAAGCAAGCCAAGGAATTCGCTAACTTCCATTCCTCAGTATTAAAATTCTTCCATTGATGGGCACTGTCTAAAACTTTCTTCCATCTCTGAAAAGATTGTAACCTTTTCGTCTGCAGTTGGCTCAACATGAATTACACAGGAGCCAGTGAGCTTCCATGACGGCCTAGGCTCGGACATGACGCGTTGTTGTTTGTTGTTATTTCGCGACGTTATCAACGAGTACAATACATTCATTATCCACCATCAACTAAA